ACTGTATCTTTTATCCCCTTAAGGACACAACTTCTGGAATAAAAGGGAATCGTGACTGAATATTTCCGTCATGTATCCTTAAGCGGTTAAATGTTTTTGCCACAAATCTGTAAAAATTATTTGCAGGTTAAATTATTTTACATATTGGAAACTGCTTTTACTACTTGTTAAGATGTAAAGTTACTTTAATACAATCAAACAATTAGCATGTTCGAAAAATATAATTCATACTATTGCATAATTAGCATTGGTAAAAGTCGAAATCTTGTGACGGGTGATCTGTTGCCATTCAGAGTCACTGACCACATCCTGCATTATGAACCAAATGGACTATGAAATGAGAATAACAAAGAAGAACATTAACCAGCTTATTAAATAACTGTGTTTGCGCTGTGTGATTGAAAATCCAGAGAGATATTATTTTTAAATAACTACAGATGCAGTAATTTAGATTAGCTTAAAATGTGCATTATAGAAGTTGGAGTTTTGACAAATTCCATTAACGATAATTATTGTTTTATTTACGATAATGTATTGTCAGCTATGAATTACAGAAACAAGATAACAAAGAGAATGGAGATTAAAAATTAAATAGATGTGTTTTAAATCACAAATGTAATGCAATTGCAATGTCTTTCACCCAGATAATCAATCCTTAATTTGCTTAAGATTTTATGGTGCAAAGTGTTACTAGACAAAAAATAGAGACTAATTCCGAAATGTACTACTTTGCTCATCAATGCAGAGAAAGAAAAAAGAAACACTTAAACTGATTGCATATTGAAGAACCATAGAATGCAAGTGAAATATAGTTAAAATATCATATCTGTTGCCATGACAGACAGACAGATGGGCAGGTAGTCAGGCAAACAGGCACTGAATCTGATCATAATAATTGGAGCCCAATACCAAAATACTATTTATTAACAACTGCAATTTAAAAAAAAGGCTTCTGCGTGAAGTAAAATTACTCCTTAAAAAAACACAGAAACCACAATAACATTAGTTAGACATACTTTCTAGATGGTGTTTCAAAGTGGAGGAAATAAAATAAAACATGTTTGGCCCTCCCGAATAGAGCAGGGGTGGCCGAAAGGTAGATCTCAATTGTCATGCAACTCTGGCAATGCTTTGTCAGCTATAGATCTTCCATATGCCTACTTCAGTGCCAAAGCAGAGAGCAGTATGAAGCAATATTCTCTAGACTTGTGCACAGCAAGATTGTTTTCGTTTTTCAAAAAAAAACATTCCATATTTAAAATTTCGTTTGGGATATCCGAAATTTGTCAACTTGCTGGCTCGGTTCCGCAAAATTTGGTCTAAAAAAAATAAAAGGATTAATCTTTTGGCAGCTGGTCAGCACGTCATAGCTAGCTGCCACATTAAATAGTAAAGAAAATAAATAAAAATAAACTTATGGTGGTCAATATAACTTGAAAAGGCTCAGAGAGCAGCCAAAATGTTGTCTCCACTTTTTTGTTCGTAATAAAAGACTGCCTTTTAGGAGAAAGCTCAAATGTATCTGGATATTTATCTTCCCTTCTGTTAGATTCTGGAATGGCATTCGATAGGATCAAGTGGCTATACTTGTTTAACCTCCTGTCTAAGATTCCCGGAGTCTTACATCAAGGAGATCAGGGCAATGTTAAAGCACAGATTAAATATCAGAAGTGCTGACCATACCTTTCAATTAAGCAATGGAACTAGACAGCTGTTGCTTTTCATATTGGACCTGAAGCCTCTCCTACATACAATCTAAATGTCATGGAATGACGGTTGGTGGACAAAAATTATAACTGTCCTGTCACGAAGATGTCCTCTTATTCTATGCGCATTAACCCGACCTATAGAATCAATGCTGGCTCTAACGGAGGACTTGGAGGCTTATGGCAGCTTGTCAGGGTATAAGGTCAACCTCAGCAAATCCCTTAACCCATCAACACCCAAAATGGCTGTTATGACTGAGGCACACCACACCCACGTAGGCCATACAGCCATCAACTATCTGTGAGTCTGTTTGACTGCTAATCCAGCGCACTTATATAAACAAAACTACACTCCAATGTTCAAATAGTTAACAGATGACATGAAAAAATGGGTTGACAAATCTCCTGGATTGGCAGGTTCCATTTGGTAAAAATAAAGATCCTTCATCATATATTATTCTTGTTCCAGGCATTGCCGATCCCAATTACTAAGTCAGATCTGGCCCCACTACAAAAAAGCAATAAGTACCTTTGTCTGACACAATAGTCACACAGTGTTGTGAAATTTTAAGTATCGTTAAAACTCTTGGCGATGTGTTCAAGACCAAAGATTGTGGATATATATAATTTATTTCGTTTACTGACTGCTTGGCGTGATGCGCTATTGTTTTATAGTTTTATTGATGTAAACTAATCTGATTGAGTTGAGTGTTGCACCTTTTAGACTTTTCCATGTTTAGTTTTCATGTGAGTATTAAAAAATGTTGTACTATTTTGCCAATTCAAAAAGAAAGAATTAAAAAAAACTAAAAACTTTAGTTATCATTTGGCCCCTAACAAAGGTGCAACTATTTAGCACAGAAATGCGCGTCTGGCTCTTCTTATCTAGCACAATATTTTGCACTAACTACACAATATCCACTCTTCACATTAGTTGTTTCTTACTATTACTTAACAGTTTTGATATAGAGAAATTAGCCACATATGTAGTGGTTCTTCCATTCTCTGTATATTATTGTAACAGCAAGACCTTCTTGGTAATATACGCCATATATCATATAATATATAAATGTTTATTCACCTCTCCCACTGTATCCATTCCTGACACTTTTCAGCACATCTTTTTTTTTTACATGATTTTTGGTGGACCACATAGGCAGCATGTTATCAAAGCCTGATGGTGCTCCCCCTTATGTTGTATATGTGTTACCATATGCATATAGTGCTACTTTTGTTATTAACCACATAGAGATTGGATAATAGTATCACTACTACACTGTACATAGTAACAACTTTCCTACTCTATATGTAGAGATACTTTTACTACCGAGGGGGGTTATTCCATTTGAGTGGAATAAGCTAATTAAGAGGAGACATGTTTTATGGTCTATCACAGCAACCCTTTTGACTGGTAACTATAAAGTGTGGAGTAAATTATCATCCTACATGACTTCTTTATAGCAACAAGGGAATGGGGAGTGAGTGCTCTGAGTACAATCCAAGGATTTCTAACAGTGTACAATAGCAATGTTTTTGCATAATTCTCCTTGCTGTATGTTTGCATTATCAATAAATACAGTATTGTTCTGGTACTTTGCAAATATCAATAGGCAGGGAACTTGACCATATATATCGTTATAGTTACAATCACTTGTATAAGAAATATGGGCAGCGTTACAATTTGAACTTAAAATGGATTTTATGGAAATTGAGATTTATAGTACAACATCTGAGGAAAGGGATTTAGGGTTAATTATTTCAGATGACTTAAAGGTCAGCAGACAATGTAATAGAGAAGCAGAAAATGCTAGCCGTTCCACAGAGGGCCAGCAGAAGTCCAAATAAGGAGATGGGCTAATGGATGAATGAAGGCAGCTGAACAAAAGTACGAGGATTGGCAGAACGGACACGGAACAAAACTGGAGAGACATTTACATAGAGACTCATTTCAGGACATGCTGCAGCACTTTATTGTGTTTACTGATTCATTTTGTCCTGAGGAAGTCTACATGTGAGTAGACGAAACGCGTAGAGCTTGTGTTTATTTTACTTTTACTTTATTTGTTTTTATTGCCTGATCCTCCTGTGATTCATCTCTACCTAAACACCATCCTGGACAAAGGAACACAGAGATTTTTTTGATGGGCTTTTAACTTCCAACTTTTTGTAAGTGTACTTGAATAAAGTGTGTTATTTGCATTTTGTAGTAGTGCTGTACTATGTCCATTTATATATCCTTACATGCTTCCCTGAACATTGAGAGCTGAATGATGATCACCTCCTGAAGATTTAAAGCAATATTGATGGTCTTGAAAAATTCATTGATCTTGTGAGTGCATTACAATTACCAGGGGCCAATCTTTGTTATATGGTGTTTTCCTATGAAATTTGTTCTGTTTTTTATCTAGGCATATCTTAGACATCGATAGCCTAGCAGAATGCTTTGTTGTATAGGGAGAGGTATTAGCAGTAGAAAGAGGGAAGTGCTCATGCTATTGTACAGAACACTGGTGAGACCTCATTTGGAGTATTGTACGCAGTACTGGAGACTGTATCGTCAGAAGGATATTGATACCTTAGAGAGGGTTCAGAGAAGGGCTACTAAACTGGTTCATGGATTGCAGGATAAAACTTACCAGGAAAGGTTAAAGGATCTTAGCATGTATAGCTTGGAGGAAAGACGAGACAGGGGGGATACGATAGAAACATTTAAATACATAAAAGGAATCAACACGGGAAAGGAGGAGACGATATTTAAAAGAAGAAAAATGCCACAACAAGAGGACATAGTCTTAAATAGTGATGTCCCGAACGGTTCGCTGGCGAATAGTTCCTGGCGAACATAGCATGTTCGCGTTCGCCACAGATGGCGAACATATGCGATGTTCGGTCCGCCCCCTATTAATTTACTAATACTAAGTAAAAATTACTTAGTATTAGTAAATTGTGCCCCTACTCGCAATACCGCGAGTAGGGGCATGTCTATTAAACAGTGAGCAGCCTGTTCAAGTTCAATTTTCCCACTCTGTGTAAAATGACACAGAGCACTGTGATTGGATGGCTTTCATGTTTATGGTTACTTATGGTTACTCAAGCCATCCAATCACAGTGCTCTGTGTCATTTTACACAGCGTGGGAAAGTTCTTTGGAATTTTCCCACGCTGTGTAAAATGACAAAGAGCACTCTGATTGGCTTAAACCCACCAATCAGAGTGTTCTTAGCCTAATTGCAGGGCGTGGCAAGGCTTTATAAGCCTTCCCCCGCCCTGCAGAGCTCAGTCTGCGTGGAGCCCTCCATGGGTGAAGATGGATTATTTTTTTGCGCTCGGGTTTTTTCTTTTTCGTCAGGTTTTTTTTTTGCGCTCAGGATTTTTATTTTATTTTCAATTCGACGGTTATGATGGTTTTTTATTTGGCCTTTTTTGGGGCTGAAAAATGAAGATTTGAGAAAAAAGAAGACGTCGAATGGTAAGTTTACTTTTATTTTACAGGTTAGTTATTTTATTCCCCCCTCACTATTTTTTAGGGTGAGGGGGGTAGGTAGGGACTTTTTATTTGGGGGGGGTGGGTGACTAGGGGCTTGGGGACCCCAGTCACCTTGGGGGGGGAAATTTACTTAGGGCCCCCACCCGAAGCCCAGGGGTGGGGGCCGGGGGGAGGACAGTAGGTCCCCCCCCATTATCTTTATGGCCCCCACCCGCCGCCCAGGGGTGGGGGCCGGAGGGGGGGTGGACAGTAGGTGTCCCCCCCTCATTATCAATATGGCCCCCACCCGCCGCGCAGGGGTGGGGGCCGGGGGGGGCAGTAGGTCCCCCCCTCATTATCAATATGGCCCCCACCCGCTGCACAGGGGTGGGGGCCGGGGGCGGCAGTAGGTCCCCCCCTCATTATCAATATGGCCCCCACCCACCGCTCAGGGGTGGGGGCCGGGGGGGACAATAGGTCCCCCCTTATTATTATTAGGGCCCCCACCCACCGCTCAGGGGTGGGGGCGGGGGGGGACAATAGGTCCCCCCTTATTGTTAATAGGGCCCCCACCCACAGCTCAGTGGTGGGGGCCGGGGGGGGCAATAGGTCCCCCCCTTATTGTTATTAGGGCCCCCACCCACCGCTCAGGGGTGGGGGCCGGGGGGGGCAATAGGTCCCCCCCTTATTGTTATTAGGGCACCCACCCCCCTCCCAGGGGTGGGGGCCGGGGGGGAGGAGAGTAGGTATCCTCCCCCCCCCTTCAACCAGATAGATTCCCTGTGTGTTTTAAAATTCGCCTGCCCATTGAAGTCTATGGCGGTTCGCCAGGTTCGCCCGGTTCGCGAACATTTGCGTAAGTTCGTGTTCGCGGTTCGCGAACCGAAAATTTCATGTTCGCGACATCACTAGTCTTAAATTAGAGGTGAAAGGTTTAAAAATGATATCAAGAAGTATTACTTTACTGAGAGGATAGTGGATGCATGGAATAGCCTTCCAGCTGAAGTATTAGAGGTTAACACAGTGAAGGAGTTTAAGCATGTGTGGGATAGGTGTATGGCTTTCCTAGCTATACGATAAGGCCAGGGACTAATGAAAGTATTTAGAAAATTGGGACGAATAGATGGGCCGTATGGTTCTTACCTGCCATCGCATTCTATGTTTCAATGTTTATAATACATACCTAACAATTTAATGGTGCAGCATATGTTTATGGTTACTCAAAATTAGCAAAAATAGAAAAAATAAACTATTCTTAGTTGCATAAGATATGTACCCCCTCTACTCAGAATGTCCTTCCTGAAATATCGTATACATTTTAAGTAAAGCACGCCAGGCACATCTGTACAGACACAAACAAGCCAATACATGTCTAGAGCTAAGATTCTATAGCTTAACTTTAGCCTTGAACCAATATCAAGCCAAAACCCAACCTATACATCATATACCACTATGCCACATCCAGAATATTGCAATATTGTAAGCTAATATATTCTGGTGGCAGAAGGCTTTTTTGGGATTTACCAATACATGATGATCATGGTATCCTTTAACACTGACATACTCTGTTATAGCTACTGAGTTGCAATGAAATTATACAATTTAACCTTTAGCACAAGATATAAAGAAGTATTTTTGTTTTGTTTTTAGTTTTTTTTTCTACTTTCTATGCTAAAAGAGCATCTAGACAAATGCATTTTTTCTTGAAAAAGTTTTTTTTATTGGATTGAGTTTCAGAAGCATGGCAGACTGGCAGTGATGCCATTTTTCCTATATTGTTCCATTGTTAATAAATACACTGTAGAATATATCTTTCCTTGTAAATGTTTAATAGTCTAGAATGGTTCATCCATTTCCTTGACTGCCTTTGTTTCTTTTGTTATAGACAGTATATGACCAAGCCACATTTTACCCATTTTATTTGGTTACCGTAACACAATATTTAGCAAATACAAATACATTTGAAAATATGTGCACTTTTGAAATAAGTATTGGATTATACAAACTTCTCTCATAATGGTTGTACTTCAACAAAATCGCTGGGTATAAAATAGCCTTTATTCACTTTCTGAATATTGGAATTGCAATAAAAAATGCTTTATCATGCACATCTACTGCATTTGGCACTTTCTACACTGTACAGTGAAAGATCTGTTTTTCTTCATGAGTGTTATCCTAATTTATTTTTTTTATGGCTTCTTTGGGTAATCCAGATATGCTTTCTGTGCCTACAGAGTTATCAGCTACACCTCACTAATGAGGATCAATAAAGGCCAAAACGATCCTCTGGGTCGCTGTCTCTCTCGAGCGGAAGGAACAAAATCTGGACTGGCCTTGTGCATGGTATCAGTTTAATATGTGTCTGGGTAATGTTCTTTCTACAAGGTCAGTGATCTGAAATGAGAATGAGTCTTGAGCAAGGACCCATCAAAGGGCAATCTCCTTAAGCAGTTGCCCATAGCAAGCTTTTTAATACCGTTTATAATGCCATTTTGTAATTAATCTGTGTTTTGCTTTTGCCCTGGGTTTCCCATGTAATTAAATAATGACAAGGTCAGAATACAAAACACAATCCAATCGCACAGTTTACAGGGTATTGCTCTCATTTAGATTAGTTTGCAATCCAACTGTCTACAATAACCAGGTCTTAGAGTGGCCGGACTTCACGTAAAACAGATAGACAAAAAGAAGAGTTAGGACTAGCCAGAGTCATGGGAAACCAGAAATCAGACAGACAATAAGACAAAGCCAGGTCAGGGCTACCAGAATTCAGAATAGTTAAGTGGAGAGCCGGGTCATTAACAATAATTCAAAATAGAAACCACAATTGAGTTTAAACTGTGCTGTTTTATAGGCTAGTGGAGTAATTGCTATACCCATGCCCCCAAAACATCAGGAGATGGTGACTATGCCTTATTTGTTATAAGTAATATTATGACGCCGGTGCGCGTGCGCAGTATCATAAAAATGGACGTGCACACGATCCGGCAGACCGCCATATTCCCATTGCATATCTGATGTCAGTGGTGCTGTAGGAGCCAGCAGGCATTGGAAACATGGTGGTCTGCTGGAGCGGCACTTCCCGAGATCAGTGGACCAATAAGGTAATCACAGGGCTCCTTACACTAGCCACCTACCAAAACTACCTGAGCAAGCCATGAGGACAACGCACTATATGTGTCATTTATTTTCAGTTATCAAATATTAACTTTTACAATTAAATTACTGGTGGGTGTGTAATAGTGTGGTTTTAAGGTCTTGGCTTCCTTGGATTTTTACAAACTATACAGTTATTTATAGAGAATGGGTTAATAAAGGAAATAATCCAAATGTTCTGTAGCCAAAAATAACAGCATTAATTATAAAAACAGAAAGCATATGATATTAATACGACTTCAAGTAAACAGAAAGGCCATACGTGCTAAAATAACTACTCCAGAACTGTAGTGTGCAGAGGAACATCTCTGTGTGATCACCACATTGAAGCAGATGGTTTAGAGACGTGGGAAGCCCTGCTGAGTTCTATGTCTATGTTATGAAGAAAACTTTATGGTTATTAAAAAAAGCACATTATTATCACAAAAGTAAAACTGAAATGTGTTCTACAACCTCAAAGTATTTGCTCTATAAATTTCCAAAGATTTGTCATTAGGGGCATGAAGCCATATGTCCAGCCAAACCTTTTTTACAGGTTACTTTGGATATTTCAATGGCGTGTGTTAAGATGTCTAATTTCAATGTTTTCCTTCATTCTGTTTTAATCCTTGTTACTCATATTTATTGACAAAATCTTCACATTTTCAAGTATTAGCTTCTTGCAAAATAATGTGCCATTCTGAAAACACTTATCTTCTCAAGCTGTGTTCATGAACCGTAAATTCAATTTACTCTACTTGCTTGCGTAGGTGAAATGTATTTTGCAACAAAAACAACATGGCTAATAGACTTGTGTATGGTGGAAAAATGTGGTTCTGGTTCTGAATAAAATTGTCAGAAAAAACTAATTTAATTTGGGCAGTCCGATAATCGGCCATGTGGCGGTTTGGCTTGTCCAAATATCGTCCGTGCAAAAATAATTAGGAAAACAATTCAGAAAAAAGTCATGAAAATAGGCCAATCAGTATACTGATAGATACAATGGCAATAATATATATTATTATATAATCTCTCCTTAATCTTTCCAGCACTTTGCTGAATGCACAATGTGAATAATCCAGGTTATTTGAGGGGAGGGGGAGGGTATGACAAAATTATGTGTTAACAACTGTTTTAGGCAAACGTTTAATAAAGTGGTCAGTGAGTATATACACACACAACAACTAGGTTCATACTTGTATGGGTTGTGACCATTTCGAATCAGTTCTCTCACTCACCATCAATACCATCAATAGTAGTGACAGGCATGAACAAAAAGATACAAATGACGTTCAATATCTGTGCCAGGTCAATTTGTCATCACATGTGATTCACACATTCAAGGAGTTTCAGGGAGTTTCTGTTCAGTTTTAGGGCTTGATGTATAGAGCATTTCACTAATCTTCCAGGAACATTCATACTTTCTTGAGAACTTGTATGGATCATAAAGAAGTTTAATAAAATGACATGTCTTTAGCGTTTGTATGGAAATGTAAATTTTCAATTGAATATTTGAAAATGCAGCCTTTAAGTAAAATATAAACAACATTTTTTAGTAATTGTTCAATGTCACTTTTCAGTTTTTACTTTATGAATAAATCCGATCGCAACTTCAGTCCCGTGAACTCTTCCCCTTTGTATGTCATCTTATATCCAATTATTTTCTTTATTAAGATATATATTGTAAGATAGCAATGAATAAAGATCGAGGAAGTCTTGAGTATTTCTCTTCAAACTACTAGCAATATATATAAAATTAATGCATCTTCTCGTACACAAACAGACATATTGAGTCCCTGGTTCAATATTGTCTAAATTCAATGAACATGTTTAAATAACCGCAGCTAGCTACGTGTAGAGCAAAATAAATCTTGTAAAGTCTGCACAAGCTTAAAA